ATTACAGGGCTGACAGCAAAATTATTAGGAGGACCACAGAGATCATGTTACCAAATGCTAAGCCCTCAGGAACATCTAAATATTTAGGCAGTAGGCCTAATCACCAACAAAACAAATTCCTCTTTTTAATGCCAACCTCCCCTTTATGTGGTGCTCCTCACCTTCTCTAGCCCTCCTTATGTGACCTGACAGCCTCATTCAATTCTTTAGCTAGTCATGTCATTCAATGCTTGCTCCTCCAAAAATACACAGACATTCTGGAGAACAGTGCAGCTGGAGAGTCAGACCAACCTGGATTCAAATCTTAGCTTCCACGTTTCTTAACTAGGGGAACTTAGGCCATTTATTTAACACTGAGTTGAATCTCTTAAGAGGAGATTATACCATCTTTCTTGGTGGTGTTAGAAGAATTAAATGAGAAGGCATGGAAAACACTTAGCCAGGACCTGCCCCATTAAAGGTGCTAAAATCATAGTAGTTCCTCTTTTCCTTCCTACAATACATTCAAATCCAAGGTGACAACCACAATTTCCAATAATAGGTCAAACACACAAAAACAAAATGAACAAACAAATAAAAAGAAATAGGTCAAATGCAAAACTGACCAAGTCTCTGAGATAAATATAATTATTCTCCTTAAGAAAAACATTCCAGAAATAGTAGTTCAACTTTCACTGTCCAGTTCTAGATTATTCTAATAATAATAACTTTAAGCCAAATACTAGGGAAATAACTTACTGATGCAACCTGGTGGGGAAGGTATTTGGGAGCACATAAAAAATTGCATATCCTTTAAAATTACACCATAGTCTCAGTTTGTACAAGTATCTGGAGAAGGTAACCTTTTGGATATACAGAGTCAAGTAGCTTCTTTGTATTACAGCTGTGACTGGAAAACAGGAAGTAAGAAGGTACAAGAGAAGGCTCTTGTTCAATGTCATCTACTGCACACAATTTCCAAAAGCTCCCATTTTAGAATTAAAAGACTACTGGAAAAGCTACAACTAAAAATAATGTGTACTTTATCATACATTAAGTTAATCAGATAACTTTCCTCCTTAATATCCCAAACAAAGCTGCAGGATTAGAAGTTTTGAGTCAGTATAAGGAATTAATGACAGAAACATCGTTAGGCTTGGGTAGGATACTGATTTTGGACATATTAACCAAAAAGAGAATCCTGGGTATCTGAAGGAACTGAAAAGCAAAAGAAATAGAGCAGAAGAGACAGAAGTAACAAAGTTGTAAAATAGTCTAGAGTTGACTATTACTTCATGGAGTCACTAAACATCATCTTCCATACTTGACCTTCAAGAAAATGCCACCATTTACAGTGATAGGCAACTGTCAGTGTGAATCCAATGAGGCTGTATGCCCAGGGCATCTCTATGCATGTCAGACATGTAAAACTTGTTGAGTGCCGAGCAAACAAAGGGCTGAATAATGGCTGAGAGAGAATGTCACCTCAAGACCTCTTATTGCTTGAAAGGATTTTCTTCCTGTTAATATTTTATAGCATCTTCATTATTCAGTTATTTAAGCTACTCAATTGTTAATCACTATTGCTCGTATGTACTCTCTGCAACTATTGCAAAACCACTGTTGAAAGACATAAATTTCCAGACAATTCATTTTGTAGTCATCCTAATGTTTCTGTATGCAGGTAGTTTTTAATACCTGTCTATTTTTTAAGCATGTTGATTTATCTTAATAACATTACTGTCACTTTTGTAGCAGAAAATTCAAGCTAGAAACTATCTGACAAAGAAAGGCTCTTCCAATTAAGCCGTCTTATCTCATTGTCCTACTGCTTTATTCATTGCCCTACACTTCCCACCATGCCTAGGACAACCAGTCATCCCACTGCTGACTCCCAGCATATTCCCCACCAAAAGACAATTCCCTGTGCTTCATGACATCTCCATTCAACCATAAACAAACTCCCTTTTATCTTTAGACTCTTTTTAGAATTCTCCCTCAACCTCCTTACCTTGGCTAAGCACCAGCTTACCTTGGAAGACAATATTTCCTTTCTCCAAGGATGCTCTTTTATATAAATCATAGAAGATTTATATATAAACCAGAAGGCATTAGCTAGGCCTTTAATGCTACTTTTAAGTGATTGTTCTTCTACACTCATTAAAAAATCTCTTCTCCTTTGAAGCTTATTTCATCCAGCTATACCTTTCTGGTGTCTTCCAATCACCTTTTCTATAGTATCTTTTTTATTGTTGTTAAGATGGAGTCTCACTCTGTCACCCAGGCTGGAGAGTACAGTGGTGTGATCGCGGCTCACTGCAACCTCTGCCTCCTGGGTTCAAGTGATTCTCCCGCCTCAGCCTCCCAAGTAGCTGGGATTACAGATGCACGCCACCAGGCCCAGCTAATTTTTGGAGTTTTAGTAGAGATGGGGTTATACCACGTTGGCCAGGCTGGTCTAAAACTCCTGAACTTAAATGATCCACCTGCCTCAGCCTCCCAAAGTGCTGGGATTACAGGCATGAGCCACTCCACCTGGCCACATTGTTTTATACTTAAGCATTTGGTTTAGAGTTTTTAATCTCCAATCTGTTCCTGTTTGCATCTTTTCTAAGTTAAAAAACCATGTAGCAATCTATTTAATCCCTGAGCACTGACCTCCTTGCTTTACTCTGTTTCCATAATGCTCACCCATGACATAATCTGGATATTGTCATCAACTGTAACTAAATCCCATTGCAATGACAGCTCTCTGTTCTCATTTTTGTTATGTGTGATGACAACTTTCCACATTTTTCTATTTATTTGAGTCTTCTAGTATATTAATCTTATTTTATGGCCCCTTATCCATTTCACTTCCTTTCCTAAAACCATGGAGCTCCTGTCAGTTACTTACAAGAGCTCTCATCAACACCTTAAAGATACCTAGAAATCCTGAGCCTTGGATCAATTCTATAATCTGTCTTCACTCCTTCTCTATCTAAGCAGATGAGTGCTCTTGGAGATGGGATCAGAGGGAGTCTAAACATCCGGATTTTGAATCAGTAAAGACTGTTTTTGAAATTAGCTTAGCCTTCCCTGACTAACCTTGTCAATGCCTTTCCCATTCTCTGATGACTTCTTTAACAATTCGCTGATCTTAAGCCCCGTGGCCAACCTCCACTCACTTTATATTGAGTGGATGATGCTCTCTCCTACTTCTCTGAGAAAACAGGCATGCACCCTTTCAAAAATCTCTTGTCCTTTTTATCCCACCTGAAAACAAATCTCTATTATTTCCTCTACTTCCAAGTCTAAAAACTGCCCCTACAGCATGTAGATCAAGCATTTGGATGCAGAAAAATGCCCAGTCACCAACCCACAGCAGGTAATCAACTGCCCACCAACATTCCACCAACCAACATAGCAAAGGCCACCAACAATTCCCGGCTGACAAATGCAACTAAATTGGATACTTAGTTTTATTTTACTTTTCTGTTGGCTGTGGCATTTCTGAACATTCCTTTCTCTTTCATCCTTTAGATCCAAGTGCCCCTGTTCTCTGCACTGTCCTTGCTGGCTCCCTTCGCGCTTCCTACTCCTAATCATTGGATCGTTGAAGTCCTCAGGTCTTTCTCTTTTTCCCTTCTCTCTGTAAGTGATCTTGTACACTTTTGTGATTTTAACTACCACATACCAAGTTCAGCATTTTGGAATCCTTATCTTGCCCAGATTCTTCCATTAAGTTCAGACATTGTTATCCAAATCACTGATAAAGATATCCACGTACATGTTACAAAATCACCCTAAATTCAGCAGATGGAAAACTGGACTTATTTAGGCTCTTCCTCTCAGATTCCCTACAGCATGGGGTGGCACCATCAACCTTCTAGCTGTCCCCTTCATTCCTTTCATTCTTTTCTCTCACCAGGTTCCACTAAGTTTACTTCTTTAACACTGCATCCTTATAATCATCTCTTTCTCACTTAGTCCAAGATTTTGTAATCCTCCCTTGGATTCACTGTGATAGCCTTCCCACCACCTTCCTGTCTCCAGTTTCACCTCCCTTCTCCCTCCACAAACACACATGATCAAAAAAAAAAAAACTTTTAAAATTATCCTTTCACACTGTTGCCCAAGTAATCTTTCTAAACTGCAAGTCTGATCATATCACTATAGATATTAAAACCCTTCACTGGCCCCTCATTACCAAAAACTAAAATTGAAATTCCTCTCTACAGCACTTAAAACCCTTCATAGCTGACTCCCAGCTCCCTTCCTAGTCTAACTGATTTCTCATCACATTTTATCTCACACTTCATTCTCTGTACCACCACTTCTATATCATTGTATATCGATCAACTGGTGGAATTTTCACATTGTTTAATCTATCTATCTATCTCTTTATATCTCTATCTCTTAGAGGTGGGGTCTCACTATGTTGCCCAGACTGGAATGCAATAGCTATTCACAGGCACAATCACAGCACACTGCAGCCTTGAACTCCTGGTCCCAAGCAATCCTCCCATCTCAGCCTCCCAGGTAGCTAAGACTAGAGGTGTACAACAGCATGCCTGGCTTATACTATTTTTAAAAAATGTTCATCCCTTCTATTAGACTGTGAACTCCCTGAAGACAGAATTCTTATTTTACTTACTTCTGTATATTTACCACCTGGAACCCACTAGAAATTTAATAAATATTGACTAATTGGTAGACCATGAAGTATCTTAAAAACAAAGATACTAAACTATTTTTGCAATTGTATAATTAAAAATATTTTTCTAGGAAGACTTTAATTTTCATCATAATTTCTCAGCAACTAAAGGGATGCTTCACAACTGCTAATACATATCTCTCCCTCCCAATTGAACAATAAGGAGCCAGAGAGAATTATGAGTTGAGATTGCCTTTACAATCGGCAGAAAAATAGTACTAGTAAGTGTGAGAGCATGTTTTAGGTCCCCATTATTTACACTGAACTCAACAGAATGATTAAAGTGTCACCAATACACACCAGGGCTCAGAAAAACTGCACATACCTTCCACGCAGCGACAGCCCTCTTGCAGCACCCGTGCATACATATCCACTTTGGACTGAGAAAGGAGCTGGTCCCCAGTCAGGTATGTATTGTGAGAGGAAGCAATGTAGTAGTTGCAGAGGGGTTGATCCATGTCTTGGTACACTTCGTGATGCAACGGGTTAAATATGTCACAAGCAGGACTACGCATGAAGTTCGTGAAGCCTGTGGAAGAAAGAGTAACTTACTACAGCCTGCAAAGCATATATACTTAATGGCTCTAAGAGGGACAAAAGGGGTCAAAAAAATGTTCATAATGATTAACTTATTTACCCTCAGGACAGCCGTTATGGGGAAAACTGGAGCAATGAGAGGTTTGCTTGAGGTCAGTCGTATAGTTTGGATATTTGTTCCACCAAATCTCATGTTGAAATATAATCCCCAATGTTAGAGGTGGGCCCTGGTAGGAGGTATATGGATCATGAGGGTGGATCCTTCATGGCTTGGTGCTGTCTTTGCGACAGTGTATGAGTTCTCCTGAGATCTGTTTGTTTAAAAGTGTATGGCCCCCTCCATTCCACCCTCTTTCTTGCTCCAGCTTAAGCCATGTGATGTGTTTTCTGCCACTTCACCTTCTACCATGAGTAAAATCTCCCTCCAGCCTCCCCAGAAGCCAAGCAGATGCTGGCACCATGCTCCCAGTACAGCCTGAAGAATGTGAGACAATTAAAACTCTTTTCTTTATAAATTACCTAACCTCAGGTATTTTTTTTTTCTTTTTCTTTTTTTGAGTTCTGTCACCTAGGCTGGAGTGCAGTGGTGCAATCTCAGCTCACAGCAACCTCTGCCTCCCAGGGTCACTCAATTCTCCAGCCTCAGCCTCTTGAGTAGCTGGGACTACAGGTGCGTGCCACTCTGTCCGGCTATTTTTTTGTGTACTTTTAGTAGAGATGGGGTTTCACCATGTTGGCCAGGCTGATCTCAAACTCCTGACCTCAGGTGATTCACCTGCCTCGGCCTCCCAAAGTGTTGGGTTTACAGGCATGAGCCACTGCACCCAGCCATTTCTTTATAGCAACACAAGAATAGCCTAATACAGTCAAGTAGACAACATCAAAAAATGAAATATGACTTTTAGGAATAGCTTTTTAAATATAACCTAAAAATATATATAAATTGACTTTTTAAGAATTTTGACTGGGTGGAAGAGGGGCCAAGCCATTTAGTGATGACTGAACTCAAGCTATGCTTATGCAGGGTGACTGATGCCATGCTAAAGCCATGTTATACCAAGAAATACCCTGATCAATCAGCAATTGACAGGTTATTAAGTTCATCTAAAAAACAATCAAGTCAGTACCATAGTTAAGGTAGTACCTCAAAAGTTAAACACTGCCTAAATTCAGGGTGTAATTATTTGACAATCAAATTGGTTTGAAAAAATGCTGCTAATGGCTGGCACATTTTATAACTTTGAAATAGTCCTTAAAGATTTTTTAGAAAACCCTATCAGTTTTTTTTACAATCTTTCAAAATATAATGGCTGGGTAAAAGAGGTTTTCATTAATATAACAAATAAATACATTAATGACTCACAAGTACCTAAATAGAATAATTATTAGGGTAAATTATTTCGAGTCTTCGAAATATATTTGGAAATCTCCTCTGAGACTTAATTTCTTCATGACAACTTTTATGTCCATAACTTAGGAAACCATGTTTAATTCCATTTTTTGGAGCCCTACCAAGGAGAAGATTCATTTCCTAGCACAGAAAAGGCCCAAGTTAGTTTATCATCTGTGGTTTCTTTTAAAATGGTTTTTAATGATATAAGATTTGATTTTATTTTTTGAGACAGAGTCTCACTTTGTTGCCCAGGTTGGAGTGCAGTGGCATGATCTCGGCTCACTATAACCTCCACCCGCTGTGCTCAAGCGGCTCTTGTGCCTCTGTTTCCTGAGTAGCCGGGATTACAGGTGTGTGCCACCATGCCCAGCTAATTTTTGTATTTTTAGTAGAGACAGGGTTTCACCATGTTGGCCAGGCTGGTCGCAAACTCCTGGCCTCAGGTGATCCCCCTCCCTCTACCTCCCAAAGTGCTAGGTTTACAGGTGTGAGTCACCATACCCTGCTAATTATCTAAGATTTTAAATTATTCCTCTTCATTTTAATTACCTACCACCCCAGGAAGTAAATAGATGGTATTAAAACCACCTTGTCCACACTGATCTGGGAGCAGGAGAAATGAGGGGGCCAACAGTCAAAATTGGTGAGATAAACCATGACTTTTTATGCTCTTGTAGGCAACTGATCTTTCATTAAAGATCATCTGCTCTGCCTGAAAGATTCTCCTCTTTGGTGGCAGCCTGCATAGCATTTCTCTGCATATTTTAAGTACATATATAGACATGTAGCTATATTTCTACTATATTATTTATGTCTAACATTCCAGGAGCTAGATTCTGCGTATATAACTGTGAGCAAATTATTTAACTTATTTGAGCCTTACTTTCCTCAGCTATTAAATGAAGTCATTGAATTAATGAGATTTGTGGTTCCAACAGCCTCTCCAAAGCTACCAATTAGGAAAAACAGTCAGTTGCTATCATTTTAAAAGAAAGATGGCAGCCAGGCGCAGTGGCTTACGTCTGTAATCCCATCACTTTGGGAGGCTGAGATGGGCAGATCACTCGAGATCGGGAGTTCAAGACCAGCCTGACCAACATGTAAAAATATAAAATTAGCTGGGTGTGGTAGCACATCCCTGTAATCCCAGCTGCTTGGGATGCTGAGGCAGGAGCATTGCTTGAACCTGGGAGGCAGAAGTTGTGGTGAGCCAAGATGGTGCCACTGCGCTTCAGCCTGGGCAACAGATTGAGATTCCGTCTCAAAAAAAAAAAAAAAAGGAAAGAAAAGAAAGAAAAAGCTAAAAAGAAACATGGCAAGTCACTAGTCTCTGAGAGGACTTATTTTAGGACTGAATTTCCCTTCATGAAATTATCAGGCTGAGGCAATTTCCAAAAATTAGCCAGTTGAGAAAAGCCCAAATATGTCATGGCATCCATCACACATAGCAGTATCAGGTAGACTTGCTTGAAGTGGAAAATGCTCATAGGCATTGCGAAAGTAAGAGAAATAGCAACATTGTGGCCTTTGCTTTGTAGGAAAATATATAGACAGGATTTTATTTAGTGTCGTAGGTTTCATTTGCATTATTTATTAATATAATTCCATGGATATCTCCTGATTTCTTTTCCTAAAAATTTTATTGGAATTTAACTTAACAGACTGAATCAAGAAATGAGAAATTAAGAATATTGGTTATTTTACCTTCTATGCCAAGAACATTTTTCAACTTATTTTCTTCTGAAACTTCGAACTTCTTTATGATGTCAAGACAATAGTCCGTTGTCACATTATTCATCTAAGAAAAACAGAATACTAGTAGAGTACCTGAAATTTCATGAACTATGTTCCTCCACAGTAAAAAGACATTTACTGATTTTGCATTCTTGACAGAGTGCAAAGCACCTAAATGGCAGTGTTTGGGGTTACTAAGTGTCACAGTTCCTTTATCATTGGAGAATGACCATGATCTCAATCTTTCTATGCATCTTTTAGATTGAATCAGTGAAAATAGCCCTTCAACTATATGATTAGACAAATGTTCTCTGTGAAGCAATAAAATAAAATCAGTTATCAATGTGAATCCATTGCCAAAAATACAATCACTATAAGCTAGCAGTTATCTGCAAAATTAACGTTTCCTACACAAACACTAAAGTTTGCAGATTATAAATATATGCAGAAAAAGAATAATTCCCTACCAAAACAGAATATTTCTAAGTACGTGTGTGTGTGTGTGTTTGTGTGTGTGTATGTGTGTGTGTGTGTATGTGTGTGTGTGTGTGTGTGTGTGTATTCATAGAACCATCCACTGAGCAGAGCAGTCTGCTGTGGTAATTGTTAATTCAGGAACACAAAGGAGGAAAATGAAAAGCTAGGTGAGGTAGCTAGTATAACAGAGAACTCTAGAGCTAGACTCCTTGTGTTCAAATCAGGTAGGCTGTATTATTAATAGTGGGACTTTGCATAGGTCGCTTTCCTTTTCTGTGGCTACCTAATAGGGGAGTGATAAGGGTTAAATGAATTAATTTTGGCAAAAACATTGTGTGGCACCAAAAAGGCAGTATATGCTATTAATAATATTATTGAATCAGTCTCAGATTTGCTACATGAACAATATATACTGAGTGTCACTGGGAAAAGTAAACTCTTCAGAAATAATTTCTTTAATTAAACAGCAACATTAAAAATGTGATATTTTGACCAAAAATCCATTTAGTCCCACAATCTAACATTGACATTTAAAAATATAAATGAATAATGATAAAGCATGCTGATTTTGTGAGCTAGTATTTCGTATTTTAATTATATTTTCTCAAAGATTCCATTATTGTTTAGGTTCAATGCTGATGGTTTAATAAAATCTAGTTTTTCTAAACAGTCTATTTAAACTGAGGGGAAACTGCTGCTATATGGCTGTTTTTTGTCAGTTCAAAAGAACACACAATGCCCTCTTTCTTTTCAAAGTAGTATAGTCGCTGATGCAGCCTTTGAGTAAATTTTACAATCCTTATTCTATTCAGGGGCCCATATTACCAGAAACTACCTGAAAATACTATAAATAAATGAAACTACAATACCTCCAAGGAACTCTACTGACCCAGGCAGGCTTTGAGCAGCTCATTAATTTGTCTGCTGTGAGCTAGAGAAATTTGGCACATGCAGGCTAAAACATAAATAATTTTTCACAAAATAAAAAGAACCAAATTGATAATAAGTTTACATGTCATGTGAAGACTGAGTTCACTTTGCAGTTATTTTGTTTATAATGTCATTTGTTCAGAAATGTAGAGGGCTTAAACTGGACTCAGGTAGGCTACCAAAAGCCCATGTAATCTAAACACACACACACACACACACACACACACACACACACACACACACACAAAATAAAGAAACAACAAAACAACTGCCTCACTGAGATGATGGAGCTAACTGCAGGTAAGCAGAGATATGTTACTAATTCAAGATACAATGTAGACTTTTATAATAAAAAAAAAATTTGAAAAGATTCATTGAATTAGCAAAAACATTAGTAAGCATTCTGTGAAGTTCATAAATTTCTGAGCACTGTAGAAGAATTAATGGAAAAAATAATCTACTTTCTACCAAAATTGAGGTATTAAGGATTGACTCTTTGTGAAATATATTAAAACCCCATAATAATGAGAATTGAAATGTAAGAGTCAATCAACTCCCAACCTTCCCCACCCCCGATCTCATTTAATTAATCTCCCAACAGCAAAATCCTGCATGTTACATAATTGAATTTTTATACATTATTTAAGTTATAATTATAAGCTTATTGTATGACTGAAGGTTCAACATAGGTTAATGTTCTTTCCTGTCCTTTTTCACCCTGTTTTGCTTCCTATTTGACAGAGCTGATACAGTAAAACAGAAATTTCTCCCTACTCTAACTCTGTTTTCTATGGAGTTCATTTGAAAGTTTGTCATTGAACATCTGAGTCACTTGCTGTTTCCAATACTAAATATTGTTCTTTCTACACAAGGCAACTGGTGCTAAAAGAAGAACTTAAGATAAAATTTGATTTATTTTAGTAATGACTCTACATTTATGTAATGCTGTCAATGTGCAGTAAAGAGCTTTTACACACATAATCTTAAATAGTTCTTATAATAGTCTCGTAAATTTAGTGTTTTTATCCCTGTCTTATAGATAAAAAACTTAATGTTGAGAGAGGTTATTTGAACATCACCACCAAAGTCACAAAACTGTAAGAGGCAGAACCAAAGTTCAAATTTGGACATTCTTGACTTCAAGTCCAAAGCACTTTCTTTTATAACTATTCTCTGGGCATTTTTCTTTATTTCTACTGAAAAATTAAAATGCTTCCTTTTAAAACTGATTGGTTTTTTAATTTCAATATAACTGAAACTCCTAAATCATTTCTTTATTTCAAATCAGTGATTACAATTTAACTTCTTTTATTATTCAAGATTAGACTCCATTCTCTTTTCCTTTACTGTAATTCTTTATTCTCATCCACAAAAGACTCACTGGTCCTCATATTAAAGGTCAATTAATTTTAGATGAATTAGTTGTAGAAACCAGTCATAGATCTATAAAATGTCCATATTCTGACACTATCTATTTATCCCTAAACTTTCTGTAAGTTTTTTGGCAAAACTTTCCCTGTGAGTGAAAATTTCAAGACAAAGTTGAAGAGGTAAACAATTATATTTCTTATGGCTATGATTCTCGAAAACACCAAATGCAAAATCAATATATCATTTGCAAAAATTCTAATATTGTTAAACTCTTATTTTTATCAAAGTTATATAAAGAAATAAGTCGCAGTTAAGATGCTTTAAAACTAAAACCAGAAGTCCTCCACCTATACCCAGAATCACTCCCCAAAGTTGAAATAGGTATTTATATTCTTTTTTTTTTTTTTTGAGACAGAGTTTTACTCTGTCACCCAGGCTAGAGTGCAGTGGCACGATCTCGCTGCAACCTCAACTTCCCAGGTTCAAGCAATTCTCCTGCCTCAGCCTCCCAAATAGCTAGAATTACAGGCATGCACCACCACACCCAGCTAACTTTTCATGTTTTTAGTAGAGTAGGGTTTCACCATGTTGGGCAGGCTGGTCTCGAACTCCTGACCTTAGATGATCCACCCACCTCAGCCTCCCAAAGTGCTGGGATTATAGGCGTGAGCCACCCAACCTAGCCATCTTTATATTCTTAATTATCATGTTTATAATGCTATATTGTACACTTTAAAAATTATCTATTGACTTCTTATTGTGTCAGATATTATGTTAGATGTTTAACACAATAATAAGATCTTCTGGGTCAGCAAAGCTTTTTCTCTCTCCCTGTCCTCTCAGTATAATTATATCATCCAATTTTTATGAAATATCTTTAAATTATTCCAAGTATGCAAATGTTGAACAATGCTGAGTCTACTGTACACTGAGATTGTGTTTCCTTTTTCATAGAATATGTTTTAGGACTACTTGCTGCCATTCCTACTTATTTGGTTAATTTTTAATGTACCTATCACAGATTTTTCCCAATGACTCTAATGGTCTTTCAAGTTCCACATATGTAATCTCTCATCCCCAGGGAAACTCACGTGGTTTCCTCACATGATAGACCCACAGTTCCAACAGGGTGAAGATGAAATCTTCAAGACTCCCTGAGGCCTAGGCTCCAGAACTTGTACATCAGTTCTACCACAATTTATTTCTCAAAGCGAGTCATTAAACTGGCACCAATTGAAGAAGCAAGAAAATAGAATTCACTTCTTGATGGAAGGAGAGGCAAAGTTGCATTGCAAAGACACATATATACAGGAATATAGGAGTTATTATAGCCATCTTCACAATCTCCATATTTTCCATATAGTACCCACACTCAGACATGTGTGGCATCACTTAGGCAGATCCTCTGGTCCATCCCCCTTACCACTTTATGTTTTAGATAGAGTCTCGCTCTGTTGCCCAGCCTGGAGTATAGTGGCACAATCTCGGCCATATGCAACCTCCACCTCTTAGATTCAAGCAATTCTCTTGCCTCAGCCTCCCGAGTAGCTGGGACTACAGGTGTGTGCCACTACGCCTGGCTAATTTTTTTATATTTTTAGTAGACACAGGGTTTCACCATGTTGGCCAGGCTGCTCTCAAATTCCTGGCCTCAGATGATCTGCCTGCCTCAGCCTCCCAAAGCGCTGGGATTATGGGCGTGAGCCACCACGCCCAGCCCTGCTTACTTCTTCCATACAGTTTTATGCCAGGGTACAGAAGGGACAATTGCCCTGCTACAAGGTTTGGGGGAGAAGATCTGAAGCCCTAACCATATCTTAAACAGACTTTCAACCAATGCTTGTTTTCAACCCCTCCTCTCCTCTTTTCAGGAATATCATGTAACTACCATCAATTCCTAAGCTTATGGGTGGCTTCCCCTGGGCCAATGGAGTTGCTTTGTGGCTTCTCACTGTATGAGACTGAATTTCAGTGCTCTGGGGTCTCCTTTAAATCAGACATGTTTTAAAATTTTGTTGCTCCTCTCCTGTTCTGTTTGTATACGTGGTTTTACATGGGGAGATTATCTTTACTGTATTTTGGTGTAATTTCAAGAGTAAGTGAAGAAACACCTCTAAATGAATGGTCATTTCATTTTCAACTAAGTAAGACAACCACAATAACTATTTATCTCCTCAGACTAGCTACCTCTAATTCATCCTAAAAGGAAACCACACATTTCACAGCATTTGAATGGACTATTTCACAGAAAACATTACTTGGAAAATATATTCAATGCAGCAAAAA